TTTTTTTTTTTTTTTTTTTTTTTTTGCCGCGTGTCTGAGCGGCGATGAGAATGGGGGAGGGGGGCAGTTCGGGCAGAGAAATCTGCTGACCGAGTGATGAGGTGGCCAATTTAGACCAGGAACTTAGTGGGGTCCTCCATTAAGTGAGTGGATGGGGTCGTGGCTGCTGGTCGCTGGTTGGGTGGGATCCACCTGCTGGTGGACCCCATCGTCTGGGGTACGCCTCCGCCAGTAAAAACACATAAAACAAAACGAAAAAAAAAAAAGAAATTACTTTTTATTGTTGTCGGTGTGGGGTCGGAAGAAGTCAATCAAGCACTACAAAATATTTTATTTTTTTATTTTTTTTATTAATCAAGTCATTTTAATGGTTGTAAATCTTATTAAAAAAAACTTTTTTAGAAAAAAAAATTAAACACTTAATAATATTAAAACCCATAACATATGTTATAATTAGATTATATTCTTCGTATTTTTTGTTACTTAAATTATTTGAATTAAAGTTTATCAAAAAATAAAAATTACCATATTTATTAAAGTAATAGTTATCATAACTTGTTATTATTATTATGCCTAAAATACACTCTTAAAATGAAGAATTATAATTTATTTCCTTCTCTGTGATCGGGTTTGTTTATTGACCATTTATTTACTATTCTTTTCATCTCTCTCAAATATATATATATTTTTTTTTGGTATTATTAGCAAATTGTAAAACATACCAAAACAAGTGTATTATTTTAAATTTACTATTTTATTTATTTATTTATTTTAGATTTCAATATTAGATAAGAAGATAGATAAGTTTCGAAGTTGGAGTAGAGTTCTTCGATTATTTTATTTGAAAAAGATGGTGAAGATGTAATAAGACAATATCTACTAGTTGTGTAAGCTATCATACAAGTTTAGCTCGGCTACGGGTTCTTGAATAGAATAGTACACCTAAAGTAGTTTAAGATTTTAATATAGAATTAATCGGCTTTCAAGTAGGCTCGATCACGTGAATGGGGGATTTAATATGACAGAAGTTGGAGCAGCCAAAAGCCAAACCCGTCCCTTGCAAGTCCCCAAAGGGTCACAACAAGCCGCGATTTTGATCGAGTGCTGACTTGCTTCTCTTCTGTGTATGATCGATCCTCCATTCCATATAAGACCTACCCATCTTCCACAATTCTACAATCGCTTTCTTCCTCATACACAGCCTCTGCATTTCGGAAATGGCCCATTCCACATTTTCTCAGGTTCGTTTACAGCATCTCTTCTGCTTTCCCGCCTTTAATTGGTCGGAAGTGGTGCACAATCCTTATGATTTTCTGGGTTTTCTTCTGTTTTGCTTTTCTTTTAATCGTATTGGATCGTCTTGAATTTTTCCTCCCCAGAGCTCAGTGGGGCTATTGTTCGGCGAATAAGTTTCGCGGGGTTTTAGGGTTCCTTTTTATTTCGCTGTTGCATGTGTGAATAAACCTCACACGCTTGTTTTCTTTTCGCTATATATTTAAATCTTTGTTGTGGAATTCTTTCAGGTGGCTGTCGCTGTTCCAGTTGGAAATGATTTGTCTGTCAAGAGATCAGTGTTTAAGGTATTAAATTCCGACTTTTTTTTTTCTCTTTCCCTATTATACATGCGAGTACTTACGAAAGGAACATCAATGACCAACGACATTTCAGAACTTCCAATTATTAGCTTTTGTGCGTATAGTTTAAACTAATGATATTGACGGCAATAAACAAACGAGAGTACCCATCACACAAACCATCAAGATCATAACCTTGTGAGTTTTGTGAGATTTCTACATAATTTGAGGTACATCTAGTAATTATATTGCCCAAAGGGATTGTCTACATTTATTATTGGATCTGCTGGTTCAAAATGCACACATGGGTTGGTGAAATTATCATGTCTCCTTCTGTGGTGCGGGAGTGACGAGCAGGGTGGAAAAGTCAGTCATGGGACAACTCGAGAATTTTATGTTTTCATTGATAGACGTTTCCGCGTTTAGTAGGAAAGGCATGCAAGTGCGTTCCTAAGTCGACTGATTAGTGGAAATAGAACTTAAAATATGCTTGTTCTCTATTTAATGTGTTGTAAATCTCATTATAACTTCATATGACATTGTTACAGACAAATAGCCTAAGATTCCATGATAAGTCATGGTCACCTGTCTCAGCTCTGAACTTGAATCTAAGGGGCACTCGAGCAAGAGGTTGGCAAACAGTATGCATGTCCGTGCCACAAACAAGTGCACCGAAGGTATCTGTTGCACCTTTAGACCTTGAAGATGCCAAAGAGCCTCCATTGAATATATACAAACCAAAATCACCTTACACTGCAACTATCGTTTCGGTTGAAAGACTCGTTGGTCCAAAAGCACCGGGAGAGACTTGTCATATTGTAATTGATCATGGCGGCAATGTTCCCTATTGGGAAGGTCAGAGCTATGGTGTTATTCCTCCAGTAAGTCACTCATGCTTTGGCCTTTCCCCTGCTTTTGCATTGAGTCTTGATATAGGTGCTCAGACTAAGATGTTCAGTGTTAGTACATTTTATTAGACTTTTAAGATGGTTTATTGAGATCCAAGTTTTATTTCAATCATGAATTTCTGTTTATGTTACAATATGTTCGGGTTTTAGCTTTTATGATATTTACCAGACTTTTAATAAGGTATCTTTACCTTCCACTGTAACCTCTGCCATGTCTTTGTTTGTGGACATCTTTTTGTTAAGCTTCAGCTAGAACTTAATAATTTTTCACTTGTTTCACAGGGTGAAAACCCGAAGAAACCTGGGAATCCACACAATGTTCGCCTTTACTCAATTGCATCAACTAGGTATGGAGATTCTTTTGATGGCAAGACGGCTAGTTTATGTGTTCGTCGTGCTGTTTATTATGACCCTGAAACTGGAAAGGAGGATCCTTCAAAGAACGGCGTATGCAGCAACTTCTTATGCGACTCGAAGCCCGGAGATAAAGTTCAGATCACAGGTTTGCATATTTTCCAGAAAATAAGATTTCTTTGTGAGCTCGCTATACAATGACAAACTATTAGATATTGATTTTTAGTAATTGATTTGATGCTATGAAGGCTTTAAGTTCAGCAGTCACTTGTTTGGATCAACATAATATATAAAGATAAATATCACAATTCGTCTTTTCTTAAGCAATATACACTGAAGTTTTGATCGTTCAACATAGTACATCAGTCTATGTTGCCTGGTGCTAGCAGGCTGTCAATGATAATTGATCGGAATTTTACTTGTCGATGGACCGGTGAGTTACCACGACTGGCCAAATCTTCGTACGTATTGATGGTTCATTGACTGCGTAAGAGGAGAATCGTGGATAGCTAGTAAAATTTTGCTTTCTTTTTCCTGCCGTTTGGATGACTATGCTTATGCTATGTTGAATAGGTGAAGGGTCTATTAAACACAAAGCTTAAGGATTTATTCAACCAAAAATCAAAAGTTTAGGATGAAATCATGTTTTTCTTTTCGTTTTTGCTGTTAGTTAAAGAAAAGCATCTGTTTTTTCAGGTCCATCTGGCAAGATAATGCTTCTTCCTGAAGACGACCCAAATGCCACCCACATAATGATCGCTACTGGCACTGGCGTTGCTCCATTCAGAGGTTATCTCCGACGAATGTTCATGGAGTCTGTACCGACATTCAAATTCGGTGGACTTGCTTGGCTGTTTCTCGGAGTGGCAAACGTCGATAGTCTTTTATACGACGATGAATTCAGCAAGTATCTGAAGGACTATCCTGAAAACTTCCGCTACGATCGAGCTCTTAGCAGGGAGCAAAAGAACAAGAGTGGAGGGAAAATGTACGTCCAGGACAAAATTGAGGAGTACAGCGACGAAATCTTTAAACTCCTGGACGGCGGGGCTCACATATACTTCTGTGGACTGAAGGGGATGATGCCTGGAATTCAGGACACTCTGAAGAAGGTTGCCGAGCAAAGAGGTGAGAAATGGGAAGAGAAGCTTTCACAACTTAAAAAGAACAAACAGTGGCATGTTGAAGTTTACTGAAGTGAAGTTGCATAGTATAAGTGCCTGCCTGCATTCATCTCCTGTTCTGTGTTACTCTTAGCATTGCTCATCTTTCAATTCCACAAGATGATGAATAACGCGGGTACCACCACGTTATTCGACTCGTCGATACTATTTTTTCTTGATTACATAGACTAAGGAAGGAACCTTTGAGCACCTTAATCTGTGATTGTTTGAGTATGATGCTTGGAAATGGAATAAACTTCAGTTTAGAATCCAACTCTCAGCAACCCTTCTGTCTTTAATCATTGATCTTCATGATTTGTTTTTCAACCACAGATTTCTCTTTAGTTTTCCTTTGGGATTTCAATTCTATCACCACTCTTTTGTTTTATTTTGAACTGTCCAAAACTTTCAACATTATTGGATTATAATGTGTCGTTAAATTATTGCATTTTCAAACACGCATTTTCAAACACGTACAACTAAGCGTAACGTTCTTTTTTTATCTATTGGTTAAAAGTCTACATCTAAGCTATGTTTAAACCTATTAACCAAAAAAAAAAATTAAAAATTAAAAATTTAATCAACAAATTACCTAATTAAGAATTAGTTAATATATT